AAAGTTACATTTCTTTCTTTTAAAGCACTTCATACGTGTCAGAAGCGCTTTAAACCGCGCTGCAGGACCTTTTTCTTTGCCTTGATGCGCCTCAACCTTTGACTTTGCATGTAAACTAGCTGCTTCTGCACCGTCAGAACTTAGCATTAGACAACTTTTATTGTCATTTTGTGAACTTCTACTTGAACCTTTTACCACTGCAAACACCATAATCCCCATTGTGGGACAATAAAGAGATTTTCTATTCTATTTTATTCTATTATGACCAAACAAACCAAATAACTCTAAGAAATCATCAGCTGGTTCTTGTTTTAGAAGCACATTTTCCTGCAGTTTGGTTAAAAGCCATTTATTAAAATCCTTGTTTGTTACAAAACAAGCAGAGGGTAAAACGAGCGGCACCCACCCAGCTTCTCCTGCAGGCCTGTGGGGGCCGGTCAGCACTGCTGTCTTTAGGAAACGTCCGCCTTTATCAGTTCAGCTTTTTAACCGCAGCAGAAGGAGGAAAACATAAAGAATTCTGCAGAAAACTTTTCCTTTTTAATGGAAACATGAACCGACTGCAGGTAGAAATGTTGAGTATTTTCACGTCAGCATGTTGTTGTTGTTGCTTTGCTGTGAAACTGCTTCCAGGAGCAAAGAGCTGAATATCCGTCTCTTCCAGTCACCTGATATGTGAGGCTGGAAGTTGATATCTTGCACCAGAATATATTAGATCTTAAATTCTGTTGATGCAGAGCCTTTTTCATAAAGTCGTTTGTTCTCCCTGCTGCATTATTGTCCAGTCAGTTAAAAAAAATGCTTTGAGACTAGATTTATGCTCATTCAGTCGCTCAATGAAGGGATTTGATGAAACACATAAAATATTTCACTCTTATGTTTTGCTCCTAACTCCTAACACAGAGTCAGTTCTGTTCCATGTATTTCTCCTGATTCTGATCCTGGCTGATGGAGTCAGCCGATACGATCCGATTCTGATCCGATACCGATCTGATACGCTTCGATATCGATCTGATACCGATACCAATCCGATACAGATTCTGATCCGGTACCGATCTGATACAGATCTGGTACCGATCTGATACCGATCCGATTCTGATCCGATACCGATTCGAGATTGATCTGATACCGATCCGATACAGATTCTGATCCGGTTCCGATCTGATACAGATCTGAAACCGATCCGATTCTGATCCGATACCGATCTGATACAGATCCGGTACCGATCAGATGCCGATTCGATTCTGATCTGATACCCATCCGATTCTGATCCGATACCGATCCAATACGACCCGATACCAACCCGATACTGATCCAATACCGATCCGATACCGATCCGATACCGATCCGATACCGATCTGATGCTGAGCCGATACCGATCCAATACCAGTCCGATACCGATCTGATGCTGAGCCGATACCGATCCAATACC